GAGGGAGACTGGCAGAACTAAGACCATGTGGCCCCACCTCAGATAGAGGAAGCCCAGGGAAATCAGCCTTAGGCTCCAGAGAAGACGAAAAATAAATCTTTCTCTTTTGATAACTACTCAAAAGTACAGGAACTTGATTAACTTCTTATAAATTGAATATAAAATGTGTTTTGCTAGCCTTCCAAACTCCCAAAAGGATTTCCTTATGACCTAGGTGGAGTAAGCCAGGAAGAGGACTAGGTGAAAGTATTGACAGCCCCAAGGATCTACTGGGGGAAGCACCAGCAACGAAATACATCACAGGAAATTGGATAGAAAATACTTTGACAAAGATGTGGAGGCCTGCACCTTGTTTTAGGGCAAAATGACTGCGCTTGCAGATCTCCAAGAACAGAAATAGCTATTGTTTTGATTTCTGGCAGGGGGGGTTGAGAGGTCTGGGCAGGGCCCCTAAGGTCTTTAAAAAAAAAAGAAAGAAAAAAGAAAATCCAGTGTTCCCACTTGTGAAGACTCAACAATTTTTCAGTTTGCTCTGGATTTGCCAGATCAACACAAAATGCCTAACATGTACTTTTCCTCCATTGCCCCCTAAGTTAGCTACTAAGAGCTTTGATAAGAGCAAGCTGAAGACAGACAACTCTTCAGAACAAAGGCAAACCCACATCCTTGATGCCAGTGACAGTAGAAGTGAACCCAAAAGAGAAGAAAATAACACGGAAGCAGCAGCATCTCTTAGACATAAACGGATGCAGCGGAGACACACTGTTAATGTGGCCCTTTCGGCTACAGATATTGATGACATTTGTGATTTACCCAGATCAAGAGATCCAAGTGTTTCTTCACTTGAAGGCTGCTCTGATTGATGCTTTCCAAAACTGATGAAAAAAATATTTTTGGATAGCAAACATTTCAGCTTCATGCTCCTTCCACTCAGCATTGAAAAACCAATAGACGCCTATGATAAAGTCTTTCAAAACTGGATCAGAAGGATGTTTTGCAGGTAGGGGCCCTCTATGGTTTGCACTTTGGGAGGCATATAGCCTCCTCTTATTTAAAGAGAAGTCAGTAACTTCAGCTTATTTTAATGAATGCAATCCGAGATACGGAAAACTTTTGGACTTCATTCTATATTCTTGTGCTCTGCAGATCAGTTCCTACACTAAAGTATGGGCATCGTGAAATGTATATGAAGCTTGACACAAAGAGCAATATTGCACAGTATATTAAATTTTCATTGGTTTTACTGGAGTGTAGGTTGGGCAAACTTCTTTTAATAAAGGATACGTTTTGTCTTATAGAAGAGATGGGGTCCCTAATTAAGAGTATTTTCTGCAGATAAGCAGTTGAGACTTATGTTAAGAATGATTTTATTGTTAAGCAGCCAACATCAGTGAACACTCAAATTCCTATATATTGCTATAGCCTAACCCCTTTTAAAGATAAAATGGCAACTATTTGTGGCACAAGCAAGAAAATTAATGAGATGGATTACTTTCATTTCAGCTGGGAATTCTTTGTAGCAACTTAGTTGCCATTAAGTTTGAGACACATTCACATTGATCTTTTGTGCACTTTTTAGAAACAGAGTGTCAGCTTTAGGTAATTATTTTTTTTAATTTTGTAAAAGGGTTAAGAATTATGACTTGAACAGCACAATAACTCTGGTCAATTCACATTGATTTCTATGTAATATTTCTATACAAAATTGTTTTTTATTGTTTGATAACCTATTTTGGGCGGTCAAATGGTCTGTCAAGATTTTTCTGTACAAAATGATATAAGGTTTGAAAAGACAGCACTCTAGTGTGCTCCATGTGGGTTAGTCTATTTTTCTACTAAACACCTGAGTTCATCTAATTTTCTTATGTGCCTTGGACTTGTGCCAAATGATGGAAGAGAAGTAATAAGAATAAATGGATCTATACTCTTAATGTGTAGCTCATTTAATATTATAGTATGCCATCATCTCAGTTTTCAGTTTCTTTTGTTGAGGATGTTGGCGAATGCTAGATGAGTCATTCTCATTTCAGGAACATCTAGTTTAATACCTGGAAATTCGATTCGATTAACGTGGTAACATGTTTAGGTTTTTTTTATTCCATTTTAAATGAATGTGGTCATTCAAAATTCATATAGGCTGCAACCTACACATGCCAGACCTGTAAAGATATGTTTAATTATGCTCAGTATTTTAATGTATGTGAGAATAAGCTCTTTCTGTACAACTAGAATGGCCAAAGAAACTGCTCATGCCAACTCAGTGTTCTTTATTGAAAGGTTTTAATATCCATTTCAAAGTTCTGTTTTATATATACACATATACACTCAACAAACTGAAAGTGGCAAACCACCTTCCGAGTTCTCGCGGACAGAGGATGTTGGTACAGGTTACAAATCAAATATTTCTTATAGCATTCTCCAACAAAAAGGCACAATACTTCACAATGGCATCATGCATGGAAGGTGATCACAGCGATTTGGACAGCTGTTTTAATTACTCTGTATACCTGAAAAATGGAGGTAGCTTGAGTAAAAGAACCAAATGCATCCAGTCTACATAGTACTGGATTGCACTAATACTTAAACAAAACAGCCCAGCCATGGTTAAGCCCTTTACTGATTTTAGTATGGAACATTTTAAGCACATGTTTCAGTCTCCTATTGAAATCAACTGGATGTGTAAGTTCTTAATTTTAAATGCTTTGCGCCCAATAGCTGAAGGACTCTAGCTACGATAAAAGAGAGGGGGAAAACACTTTAAGGAAAGAATATTTCCCAAGCACAGCTAAGAATGCACTTTCATGCTGTACTAGCCAAGGCTTGTCTAATTTCTATGCAATATATCATCCAGCAAGATGAAGCAGCATGGAACTATGTCTTTTTCTGCCAACCAATCCATCTTGTATCGACTGGCTGGCAGAAAAAGCATATTCAAGCAGCCATGGGATGTAATGCATGCATACTACTCCTGACCTCTCAATCATGGCTTATGCTAAGCAGGATTTGCTGTCAACCAGTTTCAGACTAACAGCCAACCTTGCTTGGTATTAACCATGGTTAATGTCACCAGAAGACAGGGTGGAGATATATGCAGTGGAGGTGGGGAGGTAACTCCATGACTACTCCTAACCCCTTAACGATAAATCATGATTAAGAGATCAGGAACACTGTGTGCACCAACCTCCTCTGCAGACATCCAAACATGCAAATCCTCTCCAACACATATTTACGCTGGAGCAAGAACTACTAACTTCAGCAAAGACTTGCATGTTTGTGAGCCTTTTTTCCATTTCCCACTGGATTACAATGATGCATCTATGGTTACAGAAGGAGTACATGTGTGTCATTTACATGTTCCAAGAGCAAAGTGGATTCACTTATATAATGTCAAAGAAAAGCTAAACAGATAGTGGGTAATCCCAACTCTCAGGTCTTTTATATAAAAATGATCTAAGAAAACCATTTTACTTAATTTTATTATTCAGAACATGTGATCATTTTTTAATTTTTATATTTAAAAAAGGTTTTCCGGAAAAAAATGTGTAAACATTTCACCTAGTTCTTCAGGTACAGCAACGTTTCCTTGATGTACTCCAGATGATCTGCAGTTTGGTGACCCCTGTCATATTTTGTTGATCAGTCATCCTCATCTTCCTCATCAGAATCCAATACTTTTCTTCTGTTGAACTATGGTTGAAAATACAGTGAATGTGAAAGTTCTACAACTGTTTGAGGCTAACCTTAATCAGAAAATATTGCTCCCTTTTTTTAAGTTATGAGAATAACAGCAAGCAGAGGAAGCTTTTGTAAGATAGACATTTCACATCCGCTGATCAGTACGTGTGTGTCATTTACATGTTCAAGGTAGCAAGTCAGATTCCAAAGTTCTGAATTAGGCTGCTGAACTGCAAGGGGATGGGGAAACCAGAAACAAACTCAGGTGAGAAGATAAATTCAGCTCCAACACCTCATAAGCTCAGGCCCAAAGTGTTACTACTACGAAGTGGGAGTTGCTCATACTTACAAGCATTGCTAGGCCTTGCATTTCTGCAAGAAAACCAGCACTGAAGTTCTCAACTTCCAGCATGTTCAACAGGGATCACGGTGGAAAGTCAAAATGGTGAAGTGATGAAATATGCAAGGAACTGGCCAAATATTTCGAATAAGGTAGTGTATATAAGCACAATAAATTATTCCTGTGGTTTTCCCAACATTAACAAATTTTGTCTCAGCACAAGACATGTAGATTTATGACCAGAGAATGCTTCTTGGAGAGAGCAATGTGCCTAGTTTTGAAAATTCATTACCCAAAGGGCACTGATTTTCACTAATTTTGACATTTATTATAGTATAAAGATGACATAAGTAGCAACAATCCTTAAGAAATGCTATCTGGGGCAATTTTATTTGTTTTGCTTACTATATGCTACTAGCATTATTTGCTAAGAGTTGTGCACACATACTACAGATTGATTATGCTGTAGTGCCTTCATTTCTTCAATACTGTACTATTTATAAAGAGACTTAAAATTAATTTAAGATGTCTTACCTTTACTGTTGTTTTCTTGTCTGTTTGCTGACTCACTTTTTCAAGTATTTCTATTAACCCTTGTTCTGATACCTAAACAGCCAGAATAAAAAAACACATCCATGCAGAAAAAGTTCATTTGTTAGAATAGCTTGCTCTACACTACAGCTTTTAGATACAATTCTCACTGGAAAGAGCAAGATTTCTAAAATGTCCTTCTAAATTATTTATTACTGGTTTTAATAAAGTTTGAGCAACAGGTCTGTACATATCAACATTCCATCAACCAAAACAGAAAGGTACTTAAGTACAGCAGGGAAAAGCAAAGAGAATGTGCCTATGGCATAAACTGATTGGTTTACTCAAAGTAAATTCATGTTGTCAATCCTTTCCAGCTTATGGTGACTCTTACCAATATTTTCTAGGTAGAGAGACCTCATAAGTAGTTTACCAACCCCAAGGTCATACAGACCAGCACTTCTCTTTGAAGGCAACCAGGGGAACAGAATTCCACACCCAAGTGCTCCAACTCAGAGAGCTATCCAACCATTATTTTTCATGGCTCATTTGTACCAATTACAGAGAAAGCCCCCCCAAAAAAAAACCACAAAAAAAAAACCAAAACCAAAACCAAAAAACCCCATGCATTTCTCCTACTACTCTGAAGGCAGTTTTTAGTAGTCTCTCTTTGCCCTTGGAAACTAATAGGATGAGACCTGTTAGATATTGATCTGAGGGCAGTTCGTGTGTTTGCTCACTAAGAGAATCAATCTGAGCATGGCTTATTTATATCCTCTGTATTATATATCTTATATAATTTATGAATGGCATGCTTCTATTTTGAAGTCAAAATAACTTATTTGGAAATTGCTGTAGATATGGTGAAAGTATTATCCTAATAGCAGTACAACCCTTAAAGCATACAGATTGCTTTAGTGGATGAGACTAAAATCCATCTAGTCCAACATTTAGCTTACAAACAACAGCCAACCAGATACTCTTGGCAACACTTGCTACTCAGAAACACTTTTTCCTGGATATTTAACTATAGATCTATGTCTAATCACCCTAGCATATCCAACACAGATTTATCAGTGAGCCATTACAAAGAATCAACTTACCTTCCCGCCTAACTGTCCAAATCTTGCCATCTGTATAAGGTAATTTTCAACTGCTTTTGCCTTTTCTGGCTTTACAAGCGCTAAATTACTTACTGTGAAAGGAAAGCAGTCATGTGGTTAAAAATTAATATTTACTACTTAATGCAGGTTTTAAGTTATATGCTACTTTTTTTTTCTTGCCATCAGAGAGACGCTTGAATTAAGAGATAGGTTAATATAACATTAATGATATTAGATGCAATGTTAATTTTATATTAACCTAACAGTAGTGAGATACTCTTGGTATTATATGAAATTTTACAAATATAGAGGCTCAGCTTTTCTTGACCATAGCTACTTAATATGGTTACATTTTCATTTCATATCCACTTATTCCATCCCATTTTTAAAGTTTCAGTTGAGTCAAAAAAAGTCTTAAAATAGTTACAAGGAATCTGTTTAGCTTGTAACTAATTTTAGAAAAACTTTAACAGACTTCCCAAACAACAAATTCCAAGATGAGTACCCAGCTTGCTGGGGGTGCAATTGCCAAGATGAGTACCCAGCTTGCTGGGGGGGCATGTGTAGCCTGTATAATTAAAAATTGTAAACCGCCCAGAGAGTGCTTGTAGCGCTATGGGGCGGTATATAAGTCCAATAAATAAATAAATAAATAAATGAGATTTAAAAGATATACAAAACAATCCCTTTATTCTCTAAAACATTCAATTTCCTGAATTTATTTATTATTTCAACTTATATACCACCCATTAGTGTGAGTCGTTCATTATACGTCAAATCACATTATAATGAACAATAAAAATGCAATAAACACCATAAAATAAATAAAACTCACTAGCTTAAAACCTCCATTTAAACAGAATTTTAAAAATTTAAAACAAATTTGGACATCTCATGTCCGTGATTAAAAGCACTAATAAAAGGCAGCTTAAAATAATTCACTTTTTTCCCCCTAATTTCCTAAAAACTGAGAGGGGTGGCATCTGATAAATTTCTGTTAGAAACATGTTCCAGAGGGAAGGGGCCAGGATCAAGAAAGCACGGTTCTTGGTGTTAACTCTTAACTTCCATAGGTGTCACCATTTTTAACATCACCGACTGCAAAGAGCGGCCGGGGGAGACACAGGTAGCTGTTTTGTGGGAGAGACATTCCAACAAGTATCGAGACTGACGGGCTCAGTTCACTTTGCCGCCTTGTCCCCTCCGGTGGTGGAGGCAGGAGGAGGCAGAGGCGGAGGCAAACAAGCACTCTTGCGCACGGTGGCACCTCTCCCTGCGTCACCAGATCACCTCTTCCCATGATCTCCTTAGGGCAGGGGCCAAGGCAGTGACGTGAGCTGTAGGTGAGCTCCGGCAGTCGCACTGGAGGAGGTGATTGGGCAGGCAGCGGAGACAGCAGCAGCAGGAGGAGACGTTAGTGGAGGAGCAGTTGCCCATTAATTGCTCCTCCGACTCCACCAAGGGTCAAAATTAGGGGGTCGTTTTATACATTGGGGGGTTGTTACACAATAAAATACAGTACTGATTTTTTATCATTAATATTCTTCTACCATTTTATACCCATTATATCCTACAGTCTTTAATCATTTTATTCATTTAGTCCATTTTTATTGTTAAGGTTTTCTTTCCTCCTCCTGGATCCTCTTGTTTCTATAGTGCGGGAAATTACTGATCTCTAAGGGACCTCATTATGGTTCCAAAAGGTAGATATTTGCCTCCCCAAGCTGTACCATCTGAGATTGGCCCTTGAGGAAGGACTAGAACCACGGAAGAATGAAGCCCCCAAGTCCAAGATTTGATAGCTGTCTCAGAAGGATACCATGGTTGACTATATCAAAAGCCACAAAAAGCTCCTGGAAAATCAGCAGGATTATCCTGTCTGCCTCCCTTGCAGGGCAACCAATGCTGTTTCAGTTCCATAGCGCAGCCTGAACCCTGAATGAAGTGGATCTAGGATATCTGATTCCTGGAGTTGGTCAGCTACCACTCTCAATCAACTTGCCCAAGAATGGAAATACTAGCAACTGGCCTATCATCCATTGCTAAATTTGGTTTCTTTGGTATGGGTCTTAAAATGGTCTCCTTTAAACAGGAAGGTAAATGGCCCTCTCCCAGAGAGACATTAGTGATGAGCATTATCCATTCCTTGGCCAATTCATTTGCCGATTTTAAAGCAAAGCGTGCTGGCTTATATACCGCCCCATAGTGCTTCAACCACTCTCTGGGTGGTTTACAAGTTAATTATGCAGGCTACACATTGCCCCCCCAGAAAGCTGGGTACTCCTTTTACTGACCTCGGAAGGATAGAAGGCTGAGTCAACCTTGAGCCAGGTACCTGGGATTGAACCCCAGGTTGTGAGCACAGTTTTGGCTGCAGTACAGCAGTTTAACCACTGTGTCACGAGGCTCTCGAGTCACAATGGGCAAGGATCTAGAGAAGAGGAGGTGATTCGCGGTGTGCAGGTGACTTGTCCACATCCTCAGACTGTACCAAGTGAAAATGATCCAATTTAACCTGATTAGATGGTGCAGTGGACATCTCCTTCAGATCTACTGGTATTAACAAGGAATCAAGTTCCTGACAGATGCTTTCAACCTTGGATCTGAAATGGGCTGCTAAAGAGCCTGCTATAAAGGTAGGTTCAATTCAGACATGAATACTAACCCATAATTACAAAAGCTGAACTACAGTGCGATCAAATGTCTAAACTGACAAACAGTTTGCAACTGGCAGTTACATCAACATTTAAATGGAGGTTGTAACAGAGACAACTATTGTAGCTGCTGTTGATTCAATGGAGTTGACAGGATGAAAATACAAACAACCATGTTTACAAAACTTTTTGAAGTGTGTACAATGGCTTGGATTCTAAATATGATAAGTGAAAATGCCATCTGATGCATCTCTCCACTGAAGATACAAGAACTTTCCAAGGGATGAGGCACAGCAAATTTGATTGGTTTGAAATGTGGTGCTGGAAGAGTTTTGCAGATACCCTGGATTGCCAGGAAGACAAACAAGTGAGTCCTAGATCAAAGCAAGTGTAAGCTATCTCTGGAGGCAAAAATGCTGAAACTGAGGCTGCCCTACTTTGGGCATGAGAAGGCATTGTCTCTGGAGAAGACAATGCTGGGAAAGTGGGATGGCAGCAGGAAAAGAGGAAGATCAAATATAAGATGGACTGACTCCCTAAAGGAAGCTGCAGGCCCGAGTTTACAAGAGCTGTGCAGGGCAGCTGTAAACAGGACCTTTTGGAAATAGCTCATTCAAAGAGTTGCCTGAGTCAGAGATGACTTGACAGCACATAAACAATCAATCTGATAGAACAGCAAAAATCTGATATACAATGCTTGCCTATATTAAAAGGATCTTATGTGAACTCTAGGTCAGGGAAGATTGCTTATTGATATTGATGCTGAAGGCCAACTGCCATGAAAAGCACAGTTGCACAACAGTAGCTATCAAAAGTGCTGTCCTCTTTTCCTCCAGAGGAGATATATAACTAAAACAAGGGCAAGATTGTTCAGAAAAAAGGAATAGGTACTTACATCTGGCCCGGGCTGCTTGATCCAAAACCTGAGCCAAAATGTTATTTCTCATTTCTGCCTCCCTGTTAAAATAATTGCAGTACATTTACATAGGAAATTTAAAGATGTCAAAGGTCACAACATACACAGAACAGCTTGCACACTATGAAGAGACAAAACTAACAATTTATGGGACACAAGCTTCATGCTTTAGGTTTTCCAGTCAAGCCCAAATTATGATATCCACTAACTGTAAATTGACAGTTTTACATAAAGCAAGGGTCCCCAACCTTTTTCACTCTGCAGACCAGCTGGGGAAGGCAGGGCCTCCCCACACTCATGCACAAATGGCGTGCATGCTTGTGCACATGCGTAAATTGTGTGGGGCGTGAACGCTTGTGTGTATGCGCAAATGGTGGCACACCCCCCCACTCATGCACAAATGGCGTGCACGCTTGTGCACATGCGTACATTGTGTGGGGCGTGCACGCTTGTGTGTATGCGCAAATGGTGGCACGGCACTCACATGGGCATGCTGGAACATGCATGCATGCACAAATCAGCTGTGTGGGGGTGAGTGCCTGGGGGGGCAGGAAGTCTGTCTCCACAGCCCGGTCCAGCTAAGGCCATAGACCAGGACCGGGGGTTGGGGACCTCTGACATAAAGGACATATAAAAGGAGCTAAGCCAAATTGATAAGGAATTTGATATTTCCTTATCTCTCCTGGATTATTTCTGCATGATAGTTTTTAAATGTCATAACTGCAATTCTGTAACTCCTGTATCATCTTCAAAGAACATTAAAATCAAACATTTCCTGCTTAAATATGCTAATCATGGCAAATCTTTTTAATAACAAGAGAATAATTAAATCACATTACAACTGTGAGAAAAGATAATTTCACTATTTTCATGGTATAACTGAAAATATTCCTGTATCTTTACTGCATACGTTATGCTCTGTACCATAGAGATTTGTAGCACTCTGATGTTTCTTAGAATAATGGATGATCAGACCATGATAGATGTGGTTCTTTAAAAGTAGCTGGTCAGTTATTTTGTGTGTAAGATGAATTGCTTAAGTTGCCATGGCTAATTGGCCTGTCTTATAACTGGGAGTGTAACTGGGCATAAGACCAGTTCTCCCCTGCCACACAGTCACTTGGGCACAGCAATTTATATAATTCTCTAGTAAAGTTACTTTTCAATAACTGTAGCTGTAGAAGGGGTAGCTGTGTTAGTCTGTGCAAGCATTATATATAAACGCAAAATAGAAGTAAAAAGAAAACGTGGTGACATCTTAAAGACTAACTTTTGTATTTCTAATGTACGCTTTTGTGGACAGGTCCACCTCATCATACATAACAGAAAGAGATTTAACATGGCAAATATTTATACATGGCATTATACATCTTGATATCTAGACTTTGATGGTATGTATAAATATCTGCCATGTTAAATCTCTTTCTCTTATGTCTGATAAAATGAACCTGTCCATGAAAGCTCACATTAAAAAAATATAAAAGTTAAATCTTTAAGGTGCTACCACATTTTTGTCTTCTTTAACTTTTTATTTTATTTTGCTTTTCCCTATAATTTTTAAAAACAGCAACTATTTCATGGAAACAAGTTATTTTTGAAAAATATCTTTCTCTGTTAAGTATAGTTAAGTATACATTAAGTAAAATGTTAAGTATACATTTTAATTAATGTGTTTTGAAACTAACCATGAGCTGAGATTTAAACATGAAGAATAGAAGAGTCATTATTCTCACATCAATAAAGAGATGTGAGACTAGACTGGGAAAACACTACAACTCTAATCCAAACTAGAGCCCCAGCAGCTACTTTAAAGTAGGGAAAAGCTATCACAGATACCCTGTCTCATATTTCTGCAATAAATATAATAATAAATACAACAGTACCAACCCATACCTTTGCTTTGACTCTTGTTGAGCAATATCACTGGAAGGATCCTGAAAAGTCAGAAATACAAAGATTTTACCAGAAAGATATAGTTGCTCCTTGGCATGTTCCTTCTTGATCTCTCAATACAGAGATCCATAAAACAACAAAGAAGTTTGTGGCATCTGAAAAAAGACTAAGTTTTGTTTAATGTGTTTTTGCTGCAACAACCTATTTTTGCGGCAATGGACTAATTCCGCTACCCCCTCTGGAATTTATATTTCTAAAAAAACCTATGCAAGTCTTCTAATATGTTTGTGTGTTGTTGTTTTTTCTGCTTTGCTGTTTCTCATTGTGGTGAGTTGCTTTGTTGGTGCCCCAAACCATTTCAGAGAAAGAGACAATAGAATGCTTCTCACCATGTGCCTGATTCTCCACATCAATATTCACTCCTATGCATATTCACTCCCATAAGAAAACTATTACTCCATCTGAACAGCTTTTTTTAAAAAAAAAATTGTGCTGGATGAGACTATTCCTGAACCAACCCAATGCATTGTAGCTAAGTGGATAATTAAAAAAGAGATTTTTATTTAAATGATCAAAACTGACATTTTAAATTTACATTGTGGTTTAAACTGATCTGATTTAAATCAAATCCACCCTGAGGGCACCACAGGAACAAGCTGCTTCACTCCCAGTGAGTTTGTTCCCCAAATGTTAATCCCCAAATAAGTACAGTAGGTGCTTCAGGTAGTTGCAGGAAGAGCTATGGGACCTTTTGCCAAAAGAAGCATTTGTCTCATTCAGGTGCCAGAAGACTCCAGATCGCTAACGTTATTCTGCTGCTGTTACGCCCTGCTTTGACGCCTTCAGATGCAAACAAGTGAGAATTATATGTAACACACTTTTAACAAAGAGAACCCACCCCCCTTTACAAGGAAGAAAGGTGTCGTTTTCTAGGCAAGGCCAAGGACTTTGTGGTCGAGATGGCGGAGGGATGGTCTTGAGCATCCTGGTCCCTCTTGGGAGCCGGAGGAGGGGCATTTCCCCCACCCGCCACCCCCGCCCGAGGCCCAGCAGGGCTAAAAGAGGGCAGAAGGCTGAGGCAGCACAGAGAAGCGTTAGCTTCCGCGTCTGTGGAGTACAAAGGTTCCCCGGCGGCCCAACTCGCCTGGGAAATTCCCGGGGGGGGCGTTTCAGGTCCAAAAACACACAACGGCACACCTCAGGTCCAGGCTCACTCACTCACTCTCTCTCGCGCGCGCGCTCTCTCTCTCTCTCACTCTCACTCTCACACACACACACCCTTCCTGAGGCACCGGGGAAGGGCCGACCACCGCGGTCGGTCGGGGGGTGGGGGAAGGCCCACGGCCGCCGAGGCCCGCTGAGGGAAGGGGCCGCGGGGACCGGGCTCAGGGCCAACCAGGCCGGCGCTGGGAGCGAGCAGCCCGAGGGAAAAG